CTGTGAGAACACAAATAAACAATTTGACATTTCTAGAAACATACTTTAATATATTGTTTTTAGAATTAACCGAACTAAAATTCAATGAAATTGTTAACATAGTTTTAACCAACCGCGGATTATGATTTTATATATCATACTTTTTATGTAATAAGTCATTCATTAATGTAGTATCACATTATCAATAAACAAATTCTTTGTATCTTAAATTCTTGACTATTTCAATCCCGTATCCTCGTGCTCCCAACATTTCAGGTTTAAATAAGATAAATTTTATCCTATTAAAAAGCATCTCCGTCGTAGAATACAGAAAAAATTTATTCTAAAGTAAGTAAATCAACACAGCAGATAAGAAGAAGATGACGCATACTGACACAAACTTATTCATTCCTGTTTTACCTCCCCTTTCTCCCTATTGAAAGCAAGAGTCTCCCGAAAATTCTCGTAAAAGTCCTCGTCATAAATAATAAGAAAAACGCTTTCACACTAAGACGTCAACACGTTGGAGACAACGAACCGCTGCAGCAAAAAAATGACCTGCAGGACAAAAGCTGTGTGCTATTCATGTTCGCTGACCGTACCTTCCCCCTTTCCCCCGTAACGCACAAAATTCTCGGCCCCATTTTTCCTCGGTCTTTGCCATCCGTCATTTTACAGCGGTATTCTTCTCTACCGACATCCCCGCCCTCTCCAATCGTCGCACGGGCAGCTATGGACCGAGCCAATCAGCGTGTGGGCAGCTATGGGCCGAGCCAATCAAAACGCGACATTTAATTACCTCGTTAGCCCACCCTCACGTCACCGACCAATCAGAGCGCACCATTTTCCCTGACAGTCCCGTCTAGGCCACGCCCACCTGGCGCCGGAGATCGAGTGGAGGGGGTTTGTTTTGACGGCCCATAGCTGCCCACTTACTACTGACGTGTTCCATCGGTAACGCAAGTTTGTGATGTTTTGTATAATATTTTGAAGGAGAATTAAATAACCACTACTTTAGTTGGAAGAGGAAATGTCTTTGAATGAATTGTGATATAATGATTTCATTTAAGAGGAATTTAAACCACTTGGATTGGAATAGGAAGATTCTTCAATAAGTATACGTATACTTAGGTTTCATTGTATAAAAATTAAAGATAGTACCATTTGGATTAAGTAAAAAATTAAATTTGTTCATTTTATACGGTTAATTCTTTAATTATACATAATAATAATTAGATAATTTGCGTGAGGAATGAAATATAATATTATTTGCGTTTATTACATATAATATGCAAAAGCTCCTGGCAGATTTGAGAAATTGTTCGTTGCAGATAAACAGACATGTAAACCATACGTGAGAAAAAAAAATTTGACACAGTTCCAAATTTTATTCCAAACATCTTTTCGTAAATTTCATTTGAGAAAAATCTTCTTGACGTTTCTGGATGGATTCATTATTAATGAAAAATTTTTCTATTTAAATTAAATTTTTTCATTTTAAACTGTAAATTCTTTAATTTTTTGTGGTAACACTTAAATAAATTGAGCAAGGTAACGCAATTTTGTGATAATATTTTGTATAATGTTTTGAAGGAAAATTAAATAACCACTATTTTAGTTGGAAGAGGAAATGTCTTTGAATGAAATGTGATATAATAATTTCATTTAAGAGGAATTTAAACCATTTGGATTGGAATAGGAAGATTCTTCAATAAATATACGTATACTTAGGTTTCGTTGCATAAAAATTAAAGATAGTACCATTTGGATTAAGTAAATAATAAAGATAGTATCACTTGAGTTTTACTTTTCATTTTGATAGTCGAATTTAACTTGGCGCCACAGTTGTTGATATCAATTCTTTTATACAAATGATACATATCATAAGATTAATAATTTGACATGGTATAAAGAGAGAGAGAGAGAAATAGGATTTAACTTTGCGTCAGTTCTTGATATCAAATCTTTTATAGGGATGATATCATTAAAGTTAATATTATTTATATAATTTGGTATCCGCACGAATTACATGGAATTTAACTTGGTGCCAGTTTTGTTGATATCAAATCTTTTATACGAATGATACATATCATTATAAGAATATCCTTGAAGAAAAGACATCAACTCGATTAACCCTAATCGGTGATTCACTGTCAACCGTAAGTGCTCAATTCTACTAAACAACAAACGCGATTAGTCATCAGTTCCACGGCTGATTAAATAATTGACGTTGGTGAAACCGGCCCAAATGGTGGTTCTACACGAGAAACATGCATGCTTAGCGCTTTTTTTACCTTTTTTTAAAAAGGTAAGTTTGTATACGATCATGGGTGTATTCCGTTTTTACTGGCAGTGCAGTAAACATGACGTCATAACAGTGCACTGCCGCAGCGGTTTCAAAATTACTGTGGTACTGCCAGCACTGCTATCACGTCGTATTTTGGAACAGATTTGAAGTGCTATCAACGCTATTGACATGGCGATGCAGCAAATAAACAGGTTAAGTTACAAATTTGCATGATTGCAATAGAAATATTAAATGAAAGCAGTGATAGCTCATCTGAAGAAGACGAATTATTAGAATTAACTAATTCAACAATTTATCGACCACGTGTAAGAAATTATATTGATGTAGTACATCAGTATTCAGATATGGAATTTAAAGCTCATTTTCGGTAACGTATATAAATGAAATTAAAATGTCTATCTTTATTATTTTTTTATAGCGTTTATAATAACCTAAAAACAGAGACTCCAAGTTAAATTCCTCAACATTTTATGTATTACTCGTACAAAATTAACACGAACGCCAAGTTAAATTCCACAACATTTTATATACGACTTCTATAAAAGATTTGATATCAACAATTGTGGCGCCAAGTTAAATTCCACAACATTTTATATACGACTTCTATAAAAGATTTGATATCAACAATTGTGGCGCCAAGTTAAATTCCACAACATTTTATATACGACTTCTATAAAAGATTTGATATCAACAATTGTGGCGCCAAGTTAAATTCCACAACATTTTATATACGACTTCTATAAAAGATTTGATATCAACAATTGTGGCGCCAAGTTAAATTCCACAACATTTTATATACGACTTCTATAAAAGATTTGATATCAACAATTGTGGCGCCAAGTTAAATTCCACAACATTTTATATACGACTTCTATAAAAGATTTGATATCAACAATTGTGGCGCCAAGTTAAATTCCACAACATTTTATATACGACTTCTATAAAAGATTTGATATCAACAATTGTGGCGCCAAGTTAAATTCCACAACATTTTATATACGACTTCTATAAAAGATTTGATATCAACAATTGTGGCGCCAAGTTAAATTCCACAACATTTTATATACGACTTCTATAAAAGATTTGATATCAACAATTGTGGCGCCAAGTTAAATTCTGTTAATATAATTCTCTCTTCTAAGTGAAGTAGTGGGTATAAAAAGTAAAATATGCAATGAAACCTAAGTATACGTATATCTTATTGAAGGATTCCAATCCAAATGATTTAAATTCGTTTTAAATGAAATAATTATATCACAATTCATTCCGACATTTTCTTTTCCAACTGAAGTAGTGGTTATAAAAGGTAAAACCCAAGTGACACTATCTTTATTATTTACTTAATCCAAATGATACTATCTTTAATTTTTATGCAATGAAACCTAAGTATACGTATATCTTATTGAAGGATTCCGATCCAAATTATTTAAATTCGTTTTGAATGAAATAATTATATCACAATTCATTCAAAGACATTTTCTCTTCCAACTGAAGTAGTGGTTATAAAAGGTAAAACCCAAGTGACACTATCTTTATTATTTACTTAATCCAAATGATACTATCTTTAATTTTTATGCAATGAAACCTAAGTATACGTATATCTTATTGAAGGATTCCGATCCAAATTATTTAAATTCGTTTTGAATGAAATAATTATATCACAATTCATTCAAAGACATTTTCTCTTCCAACTGAAGTAGTGGTTATAAAAGGTAAAACCCAAGTGACACTATCTTTATTATTTACTTAATCCAAATGATACTATCTTTAATTTTTATGCAATGAAACCTAAGTATACGTATATCTTATTGAAGGATTCCGATCCAAATTATTTAAATTCGTTTTGAATGAAATAATTATATCACAATTCATTCAAAGACATTTTCTCTTCCAACTGAAGTAGTGGTTTAAAAAATTTAAGAGTTACAAAAATTAAGATTAAAATTTAACCGTATAAAACGAAAAAATTTAATTTAAATAGAAAAATTTTTCATGTAAAAACATTTGGTGCTGCTAGATCGAGTACGAAAAATAAGAATAAACTTTACTATTTATTTTTATGTCATAACGCAAGTCTTACAAACCGAAATTTATTTTTCTTCATATTTTACTTTTTATACCCACTACTTCACTTAGAAGAGAGAATTATATTAACAGAATTTAACTTGGCGCCACAATTGTTGATATCAAATCTTTTAT